AAACAAAAACTGAAATTATTTTTAGTAGATAAGTGTTTTTATTCTTTATTGGAAATTTTTTCTGCTGTTGTGTCCTAGGTTAAGTTATTATATGTTTATTTGACTATTGTTATACAATCCTTTTTTGTCCACAACAAGATAAATAAATAAATAAATAAATAAATAAAAAATATTGATTAGAACCCCAGAAATTTTGAAAAAACTGTTTTGGGGGCGAACTTTAAGTGTGTATTTCACCTCGTAAATATATTCCGCCGATAAAAAAATACGGGTCTCTTTACATTTTTTAGAGTAGATACAAAATTCATTCGTTTTTCTGCTCGTTAAGATTTTTTTAAATTTCTGAAATCTTCCCTTAACTTCTAGCCTCCCTAACTGTTAATTTTAATAGTACAAGAAAAAGTCAAGATGCCATTTTTATGTAGAATTGTATGCTTTACAACTTTTTTTTTCTAGCTCTTACCCTTTTAGAGTTATATTGATAAACCCCTTTGTTTTATCTTTTTTCACTCTTGGCCGGGGGCTCAACAAAACTCACTCACTGTTATAATATACCTACCTCAAACTAAATCATATAAAAAATTCAGGCAAGTTGACCAAAATTTCGATTTAAAGGCTTATTTAATTGGACTATAGATAACAAATTCCGCTAATGCCAAACTAATGAAGCTTTCGGGCTGAAATTTTTACCATGCATTAAGGGTGCAAAGAGCTTAAAAAAGCCTGAATTACAAGTGTCTGCGATGAAGATTGCATTAATTATTAGCAATTGGAAAAAAGGTCATTTTCGATCATTTTTGAGCTCTCGCGCAGAAACACATTATCGGAATTTAATCAGACTTGTCTCATTTTACAGGTTTATTTGTATAAACTTTTTTTCGCTATGAATAACAGTTTTTTTACGCGAGTCAAAAAACCAATTTTCCATGACTTTGATCATTGTTTAAATAAAGTTTCCCAACTAGTCTTGAGTTGATTCCCGAAAAATAATGGCTATAGTAACTGAACTACTAAGAACAAGGTTAAGCCGATAAGATTTAAAAAATGAGTTTGTTTGAATTAAATTATAAAATATTAGACGAATAAATGAAAAAAAATGAGATATCGTGTAATTAATTTCTCAAAAATTAGAGGAAGTTTAAATCTTTTTTGTATGTTCTGTATTAAAATAAAATCACTCAATGAGAATTAACAGAAACTTATATTTGCGTACCTTTCATCATTTCTACGTAATACACTAAACCATAAAATTGCAATCGTATCCACCTCAGTTAAATGAAAATTCCACTGAATCACAAAAATTTAGATGTTTCGGAGTTGCCGGTCCTCGTCGGCTAAACTCCGGAAGAGGCGAGAAGTGCAGCGATCGGTGTTAATTACGAAGAGGAGAGGGCGAAACGTCGATTGGATTACAGAAGGTCAGTTAACCTCACCGTGGGTCGCATTTGCGGCATGATCCTGTAATCGCCTCGCAGCGTGTTCGACAGCGGCGCCGTGGGAGAATCCCCTACGCTAAATACAAGCCATTAGTGCACCGTTCCTCGGTTAAAAGCCGTCGGGAGGGGGTCCCGCACACAATTGCATTAGCCTCCCACGAGAGACGAGATTTTTTTTTAAGCATGGTGGATAGGTAGCGGTCTGTCTTGGTGTGCTACTTAAGTTCGTTCCAGACCTGCGGGTGTCTCCGTAATTTTTTTTCCAGTTGGGTGAGGGAGCTGTTTATTGGCACAAAGGATCGTATTATTTTTTTAATTTTGGGGGAACTTTGTGGAAGATGTTGTCTGATGGAATTTAAGTATGTTCTAATAAATAAAGGGGCAAGTTAACATTATTTTAAATTAAGTTTGGAATTCTATATAAGGAAATGAATATTCATATCGTGTATGGAAGACTCGAACAATATTTTAATTTTTTTCATACATCACTTGCAAGCGAGAAGGCTTAGAATAGCCCAATTTTCACTTGTACGCCTCTGGGAAGTTAGTCTACTGACGAATCCAATTTTGGTGTACAATAAAAGTATGTTTCATTTCAAAAACATTGCACTAACTAAACTAAATTGTCAAATAATTAAAAAAAAGATAAAAACAGAAAGTGCAGTACTAAACACACAAATATATAAAATATACCTACTAAACTACACTACACTGGTGTACGTTGCATTAATAGCAAATGTCAAAAACTGTCAAAAGTAAGTGCCACATATGTTACAGTGTGTCCAAGATAAGGATGGGATGGCATTAGGATTTAGGAAACGGTAAGAGATACGGGGTGGCTCAAATTAGAAAAAAGTTGTTTTTTCATACCTAACTACATGCCGTTTAGAAAGTTTTAAAATTCCGGGTAATTCTGGAGATATCTGGAAATTTTGGCTTTATTTGAAAAGAATTTTAAAATAAATTGCATATTTACATTGCCACTTTTTTCGCTCTATCCAATGGCGACAACATTTCTGCAATCCGACGGTTTGTCTTTCAAGGGCCATCATCAGGTTTAATTTTTTAAATACGTCGCTGCTAATTTTATGACAAAATCTAGTCATTTTTAATTCTGAATTAGATGATATTCCTATTGTAATCGCGTAAAAAGGTTTTAGCGATGATTTAAAATTTTTCCGTAATACGGCTCTGAACGCTTTCAAAATATCTATTGGAGGAAGTCATAACAGTATAAAAGTCAATATGTAATACTAAAAACTTATATTCAATTATAAAACGTAGTGAATACGTAAAAAATCTTAAAAATAGTAAATTGTATAACCTAACATTCGAAAACAATTATTATTATTCTTATACATTTATTTGAAAAGGTCATAAAATCCAGATTAACTTCTTATTTAAAAAAATTCAATATTATTTCTAAAAATCAGTACGGCTTTTAAGAAGGCATATCCACCCAGGATGCAATTGTTCGTCTAACAAAAAGCATATATAATTCATTAGATAAACAAAATCCTTCGCTGGTTATTTTCTTAGATCTAGCAAAGGCTTTTGATACAATCGACTTCTCAAAACTTTTTACCTCTTTAGAAGATCTAGGCATACGTGGAGTTAATTTGAAATTATTTCATACCTATTTACAGGAACGGATTCAATATGCACGTTTAAATGATACATATAGTAATCCAAGTACAATTAAATATGGTGTTCCCCAAGGGACTGTCCTGGGGCCTTTGTTTTTTATAATATATGTAAATAACCTATTTTACTTAGAAAACTCAAGTCAAATAATTTCTTTTGCTGATGATGATACGGTTATATTTTATACAGAATCTGATTGGTCTACGCTGAAAAACAAGGTTTAACAATATGACTCTTACTATAAATTTTGAGCAAACATTCTATATTCCGTTTTCATCATATAAAAATAAATTACCAACATATAGTGTTCTGGATATAACGGATGGTAGACAGACCATACATATAAATTCAACTAGTAACTTGAAATATTTAGGAATTTACATTGATTCACATCTAAAATGGGATATACATGCCGATTATGTAACTAAAAAACTCGGGTCTATTATATGTCTTTTCTATAACAAGAAACATTTTAAATACTGAATATATGAAGATTCTAAATAATGCACTTGTAAAACCTCATTTAATTTATGGTATTTTAGGATGGGGCGGTATATTAAACTCTCACCTAAAAGATTTTGTCATACTTCAAAAACATTTTTTTAAATAATTCTAAATAAAAATATAATGTACCCTTCGGATATACTATTAAATGAAATAGGAATGCTTCATTTGAGACAAAATTATTTTTATTGTGTATGTATTTATTTATATAAAAATAGGCTATTACTACCTGATCACGACTATGGTACAAGATTTAAAACCCATAGTTATAAAATTGAATTTATGCAAAAAATTATAGGCCAGAAGAGTCTTAGCTTTCTGGGACCTACGATTTTTAATTCATCGCCGCTTATACTTCAATAAAAAATATAAATTTATTTAAAAGAGAATGTAAACGATATATACTTAATCAAAGCAGACAAAATACCCACAATATTATAGATCTAAAGAATAACTAAATATAAAATAAATTTCTGCATAAGTTAGTAATAAATATGTGTTTTGTTATATTAAATACTGTTTTGTTTTTATTTTTGTGTTATATTTTAAGATATACCTAAGGAATGTTTTACTATTATAAATTGTGAGTATTTTGATATTTCTGAATTTACAAGTTCTTCACTGTATTTATATATTATATAGATTTTTAATTAATTTGTTTATATTAACAAATATAATATTTGTTAATATTTAAAATATAAAAAAATATCTTATTTATTCATAATATGTCTCGCTAAAAAGTTTTATTTATTAATTGTAGCTCACAAAAACATATTAAAAGCTAGAATAATGACCGAATTTTACGGTAGGTTCAACATTCACTTTCGATAAAGCTTGTAGGTCAGCGGTCAGGAACGATTCGAAAAGGGGTCTAAATAATGATTTGAAAACAGTTTTTTTCAGCGAAAATATACATTTTAAATTGTTTTTAATCGCGTATTTGTATTCTCCTCATTTTCTCTATCTTCTTTTAAAATTACAACTGAATCGCCCTGTATGTTAATCTAAAGGTTCTAGAATAGGGTGTTCATAATAAATTTTGTTATTTATATTTGTTTTTTTCCTTTAAGATTCATTATTTTTGTTACACCTTGTATAACTTTATATAAAATATATTTATTGCTCTTGTCTTGAATTGTGCGGGTTGATTTTGCGTAGAAATTTCACCGTATTTAGAACATATAACACACGTGAGCATAACGAACCCTCTATAAACTGTTTACCTTCAATTACAAAATTTCTATTCTTGTACCGCACCTGTGTTTTAAATTAAGGATAAACATTCCAAAGCAAACACCAATTTATTCAGAAAGTAACTTTATATTTGGCATGTTTATATTTTGTGATCTCTGTAAATTAAGCGTAATTCTGCCCTTTGTGAAACTTAGATGAGTAATTTATTTTCGACGTTTTCAGATGATCGTGCCGAAAAAGAGGACCGCCCTTCTAGTGAACAGGCTAATGGTAGCCCTCAAAGAAGCCATGCAGGACGAGGAGCGACAGGAGGCCCTTAAGAATAACGACAACTTGGACAGGCTGTCGCCGAGGTCCAACAAGAATTATGCGCTATCACCAGACGAGATACGATCGGTAAAAAAGTTTTTAAGTCTATACAAAATGATATTTTTTTGCAGGTTTTCGTGGCAGTCATTCGTTGAACAATTTCAGGGTTAGTTGCCACCTCATCGGTTTAGACTTACTGAAGTTTCTAAAGACATGTCGCTCTCTTCTTCAGAAGAAACTCTGAAACTGAGGTTAAGTCCTATTTGTATTTGCTACATATCTTGTCTGTAGCATTCTGGTGCGTGGTTGGTAGTCTTTGGCTATTTCTCGATAGTCACAAATTGTTATTTAAATTATTCTGAATTTCTAATGCTTTCCCATATAGTTAGGCAAAATCTTCTCTTTGGAAAATATATACAAAGAAGCATTTGAAAAGAAAGTCAGCAACTCTAAAGTCAAAGTGTTGATATGACGACATATTTATTATCTACCAGAAATATTCCTGAACCACCTCAGAGGGTTACATCTGGAAATCAGGTTTGCGATGGAAATGGAGGAAATGGTACCTTCCCTTTTCTTCATGTCTTTGTCAAGAGAAAATCGGACAGCACCCCATAGGGCATATCGTTTACAGAAAGTCAATATAAACGGAAATATATTCGAGTCTCGTCACCACGCAGCCCTGGTGTATACGGCAGTTCTTGTATATGCGGAAAAAGTATACTTTAAACAGAGAGGAAGACAGGTTAGAACGCAATTAAAGGATCACAAGTGCCACTTGAAGAATAACAAACAATCCAGAAACATCAGCATTTGCGGAGCATGGGGCAGATACAGGACACGCAATAAACCTAACTATTACCACAATAATTTTAGTGATATTGAGAAGATTTGGGCCTAGATTGGATAGGGAGACCATATAAGTCTAGAACAATCGAAATGGTTTCAATCATGATGATAAATTCTCAAATGTCAAGAACCGAAAAAGAGAGCGATGTCTTCTGAAAGTTGGAAAACTAATCCGCAAATAAGATCTGATCAAATTATTTAAGTAATAGCACGTACTTTAATTTCGTTTGATCATGAAAATGACTTCGATATGATTAATGTTTCATGAATATTTAAAAGAACTCCTACGTTATATCTGATAAGAGGTATTATACCTTTATTTTGTAGGTGTACGGTAATATGAATTAAATTAAGTAACATTTTTTAAAGTAAATTTATTATTATTGTCGTGTAAGTATTATACTTGACATAATACAGTGTGACGAAATGAATATGGTATTTGTAACTTTTAAATGATGAAAGTTTTAGGTATACCTAATCTATTAAAAATGTTTTGTTTATTTGTTTATCGAAAAAGCTAAATATTATAATAATAGTTTATTGTTCGTATCTGGTTTAAATCTTGTAACGTGCGTATTTTCAACGAATATCCTACGTATATCCTTTGTTGACTGCGATAAAACCAAAATAAAACTTCTTCCTCATTATAACAACAAATCAATACACTTGCCACAATTTATATGGACGTTTTTATCTTTTCGTATCAAAACAGAGTTATCTGCAGTATTAACTTTTTTACAAACCATTAAGGCTCAAAGGTGCAGAGGTGTCGAAACAGAGTAATGACAGTCCCATTAAATAGGAATAGGAAAGAATATTTTTCCACTGCTATAAATATATGCAGATATACAAACTTGTTTGTGCGATGTTGACTCTGTTTTGGTTGTGAAATCAAAACAAAGTTATTATGGAGAGAATTCATGTGAAAAGTACCCTTCAATACAATGTTTTACAATTATTACCTACCCTTTATATGTATGGAGTATCCCAAAAAGTGGTGATCTAATTTATTTTTTAAGTTGAATGTTCTTTGTATTTCTATATCCCGCATATTTTTGTAGGAGGCTTTTTTAAGGATACATTAATTTGGAATCTAACTCCAATTTCCAAGTGATATGTCTAAATTGGTGTACCATAGCTTTCTCTTTTCGGGACGTCTTATACAGGGTGTTAATGAACTTATGTCAAATATTTTTTCCACATGTCCATTATGTCAAAATGAGGTAAATACACGGATTTGTGTTGAGTAAAATGTAATTTTAAAATCTAACTTACATCAACATTGCCAAGGAGCCACTTTTTGAGAATTGCTGATTTTCATAGAAGATGTTCGATGTATCCACCATTTGCTTGCACACAAGCGTCAGCGCGACGTATCCAATTTGCTCGCATGCGTTGCAACATTGCCACGTCCTCTCGAATCGTATTACAAGAAAAAAATTGCAAAAAATCTAGATATGAAACAGCGTCTGAGCGTCTAGGCAAAATTAAAGTGTTTACAGCATGCGAAATATTTACTTGCTGTGGGATATTTCTGGCGCTACGATGCGGATCCTCTGCGACGAGATCTAAAATCATCTTCTCGACATTGAAGAATCTTAGTGGTCGCCCTGGGCCACCGTCGCCACCCGCAACGCGGTTGTACTTCACCGGTGTCTAAAACTCTTTACGCAACAGCAACAAATATTCGCGGTGTGGGGGTATGTCGTTCAGGATATCTTGCACGGTACACTTGATAAGCTCTGTGGGCATTATCGTTTCCTTCGCCATAAATTATGAGCATATCATAATATTCGCGATTGCTACCAAAATGCGCCATTTTCAAAAGAAAACTTGAAAATACGGCAATTAAATGTACTTTCGAAAAACAGCACAGCAATCACTACAACAATGTATTACAAACTGACTTTCGAATACAGTCCGGCTTCATAAAAAACCTACAAACTCGTAAAAGTGTTTTTGTAAGTACTCGTTAAATACATGTATTTCAGCAGTTCCAAAACAGTTTTAAACACATTTTTAATTAGCTTTTTTTTCTATGACCTTAAACTTCCGATACAAGTTTGTGACATCAGTTAACTCAGTTTTTGCTCCTCTTTCACCCCTTTAAATATTTGACATAAGTTCATTCACACCCTGTATAAACCACAATAATTCTAAAACTTGTTTCTATTTTCGTTAGGAATCTCTATACAGGGTGTTTGGTAAATCGATGCATTCCTTGCAGGAGGTTATAGTGAATGTGATTTGTGATATATTTCCTTAATACACCATATTCCGAAAACGCTTAGTTTCTGATCTACAGGGTGAAAAAGTTTTAATAAAAAAATGCAAATTTATAAATATTGTGGAAACCGCTCAAATTATTTTAATGAAATTTTACAAGCTTTGACAATTAACAACAATACATGTTTTACGATAAAAATACTGTTTTTAGATTTACTAGTAGCGTACGCACAGGCACGTCTTTGGATATTTTTAAATAAAAAAATGATACGCCACTGATTTTTCTTAAAAAAAAATTATTTTTGAATTCCTTGTTCAATTTGGAAGAGAAAAGGTATCTCGACTGTTTTTCTTATGACGCACCGTTTTAGAGTACCTAATTCAATAATTTGAAAAATAGCAGAAATTATGCACTCCGCTTTTTTTGTGCCAGTTTTATTACAAAAAATTATTATTCCTCGCAGTTGACAAGATCAGTCTAAAAAAATTTTATCAGGTTTTACAATAACTATTTAATATCTAAACAGAAATTAGCAAATTGGCTGTGCACTAGTTTTTGTAATTGTTTGACAAAATTGATAATAGCTGTACTTTGAGTGTTTGAGTGTGAAGCAGTTAAGTGCACAATTTCGGCTATTTTTCAAATTATTGAAACTGAATTACGCCATGCAATAAATAGATTTTAGTTTTTTTACTCGAATAAGAAAAACAGTCAAGATACCTTTTCTCTTCCAAATTGAACAAGGAATTCAAAAATTATTTTTATTTAAAAAAATCAATGGTGTAATTTTTTTTCTTTAACAATCTTTAGGCGCTACTGGTGAAACTGAAAACAATATTTTTATCGTAAAACATGTATTGTTGTTAACTGTCAAAGCCTGTAAAATATCATTAAAATATTTTGAGCGGTTTCCGCAATATTTCTAAATCTGCATTTTTTTTATTAAAACTTTAATACACTGTAGACCAGAAACTAAGCGTTTTCGGAATATAGTATATTAAGGAAATATATCACAAATATCCATTACTATTTATTTATTTATTTATTTATTTATTTATTTAAGGACAAGGGACAAACACAGGCTTTATAGCCCAAAACAATGTCCACAAATTACTTAAAGCTAATTGAATATAAAAGTACAGAAAAGATTCTTCTATAGCTATAGCTATAGAAGAATCTAGTGTTTGGTAAGTTGAAGCTATAGCCTCAACTTACCAAACACCCTGTATATCAAGAGTGGAATTCAGGTGTGGAATTGTCAGTACAAAGTATTATTTTACAAAATGAGATTGTCCACCTAATGGTTAAAACCAAACAGAAATGGTGCTCACTTTGTTGTAGTAATTACTGTTAAAAATTCATATTTCTAAAAGTTTTTTTATAACTTTATCTCCAATTAAAATGATTTAACAGACCCTACTTATGGGTAACATCGTACTCAGAAAAACAAAATTCAATTCAATAGTCAATTCAGTCAATAAAAAAGGGTACTTTATGCTTTTCCGAGTAGGAAAATTGGATGGACTAATCAGCTTGTCTGGTTTATTTCTCACCCGCTTTACAAGATTTATACCACATTTTTTTTGTCGCCCACTAAAGTCGTGGGTGGCGAACCTCAAGTTAGCATTGTCACGCATATAACCAGATTTTTTTACATCGATCTCTTTCTGCTTTTCAGATGGACTTGCAACGGAGAGGCCACGGCAATATCGGCCAGCAGAAAGGCCGGATATACTGGCGGTGCTACTTTAACGCAGTCACATGTTTCTAATGCTAGGCCGTGTCTCCGTATCACATAAGCGAATGACTTGTATATTATTAACATTTTAGTTGTCTTGGCGTTTGTATTTATTATGGAAGAAATGTATACACACAACTATTGTAATTCTTTAATATTTTGTCAGTATTACTTTGAATTATATACCTACATTAACAGTGTACTAATGTGTCTAATACTAATTACTATGTTACGATAAATAAATTATTAGGTAATGAAACTGTGTATTTATTATTATTGTTTTTTTTTTAGTAATAATTGTATAAGAGGTAAAAGCAGACGAACAGTTTGATTCCACTCTGTCTCAGTACCCCTGACATTCTTATTAAAACATCTACATATAATTAGATGTAGGCATTATTAAATTTTAATCCAAATCTAAATTTTAGCACCACCGCTTCTTTAGTCGACTTAAAAATAAATATGCTTCGTATCGCCAATTAAACGAGAAAGATGAGTGAATTATTATTATTAATTATCAGTACAAGCGTGTCGTGTTGCAAGAATTCTATCTCGGGATCAAAATTTCATTAGCGTCCTACTCTTTTAAAGTGTCTGACGTGATGACAATTAGCTCTCGTTGGGGATGGGACTTTTAGGAAAGTTTTTTTAATAATAGGGAGAACTGCGGATATTAAAAAATATTTGCCGTTCCAATTTTAAATAATGAATTTGTTCATTGGAATCGGTTTCCTATCTTAGTTTTCTAACATTCAGAACATGAAAGAGTTTCTTCTTCATACAGGGTGTTCCTAAGTTAAGCTCAAAAATATTTTATAGGTAAAAAAAATTTTTACAAACGTAAGTATGTATAACAAAATTCCATTATTTGAAAATAAATACATTTTACACATATTTAATGAAATTCGGTATAGGCATTTTTTTATAGCATAATAAAGGTGAATAAGAATAAATAAACGGTTATGTATTTCTTTTGCCATATATGTTTTTGGAAAAACGTAGGTATTTTATTTAATGTCGTTTTATTTTTGCTAAATGCTAAAATACATTGTTGCGGAGAAAAGCTGAATACTTAGGGATATTGTTTGGACAATTAGAGGACACGTTTCAATGGAAACTGAAATTTAATCACCTCACCAGGGACATGCACGCCACTGCAATTTGTAATTTTGTGAGTATTTTCTGTAATCCTCGTCCATCATCTGACAAAAGACGCCTATCAGCATTTTATTTGAGGCTTAATTCTGAATAAAAATGTAATTTGATTAAAGATAATACAATAAATTTAATAAAACAGCAAATGCTAAAGAGACATGTTACGTCAGGTGAATGAATATTACAAAAAACTCCGAAATTAAAAACACGCAGTGACTGCATATTGTTTTTAAAATAATTACCTACACGCTCACCCTTGGCTTCTGGGCATATGTTAATACATAAAAACTTTTTTTTCATAAAATAATTTGAAGAATTTCACTGAAATATTTTAAATTACTTATAAAACACCCTGTATATACGGTGTTCCTTCTCCAGGGTGTTTACTGATCAAAATTGATATAAAAAGTTCAAATTAACTTACCAAAATTAATCTATTAACAATGCTTTTATATATTTTCTAAAACACGTTTTAGTTACATGTAACCGACTTTTTCTTGACCACCTTGGTAAAGAATATGTCTTTTTTTGTTCTCTGGAAAATTTAAAAAAAGTTTAGACCCATAGCATGGAAGAGTAATGGTCATTACTACTAAATTCACATACAAATAAGTGTTTTTAAAAACTAAATAAGACTATTTAAAAACTCCATTGGGTTGTACGCACATGATAATAAAAAAATAATTGTGGGAAAACAATATTGACTATGTTATGGATACATATTTAACATTTAATAATAATTAATTAATGTAAGTCTTGTTTTTGTTATTTAGGAATAGAATATAAATTCTTTGATGTGTTATATTCAGCAACAGTTTTTCTAATTACCATGGAATTAAAACTTTTCGGAGATTAAAAAGAATTCGTAACTTTTTTATTAAGGTTTCTTTGAAAAAGAGGATAATGCACTCCATTTCTTTGTCAGCTTCTTATATGAGTCATCAATAACTAAAAATGTATAGAAAATTTGGTACCGATATTTCAACTGGTTTAGAAGTTATTAAAAGAAGTTACAACTTTTTAAAGTCAGAATTGACCCATAGTTTATTTGAATTTTGTGTATTAATTTTGACCAAAGAACATGCTGTAGAAGTTTGGCAATAAAATTAAGGAACAACCTTTATATTTAAATATTTTGCAGCTGCGTATTCTAAGATTTACATATTTTATTAGTCGGTTGACATTTGAATAAATCGTAAAAAATATTTAATACAGCTACAAATTTAGTAAACATCAGGTAGGTATAATTAGACTAGAATGCTGTCAAAAACGCAACGTTCTGTTGTACTCAGCTACAGAAAAATGACATCAATTTAGAATAGAACAAGTATATCTTTGTTTTACTATAAATAATGTGAGCTTTCATAAAACCTAAATTTTTCTAAAAAATCATAAGAACTGCCTGAAACAAGTAGGTTCAATTTTTATGAATATAATCAACAAAGCCTACTAAGGCAAGACCAATATCCTTTCATTATGTAATTCTTTCGATTATAAGCTAATAATCCACGAACCTTTTCCACATTTAAATGTACTCCACTTATTTGAAAACCTTAAAATGTACGAAGTTACAATAGCAAATTTAAGTTTGAACATGTATGGGATTTAATCTAGAATAAATTTCAACGTGTATGGGTTCCTTTAATATACGGTTATATCTGTAGGAGAATGCAATGACTCGCAATTAAGGAACAGTTGTTTTCTTTTTTCAAACACTCACAATCAGTTTAGACGTTGAAAGAAAAACCACCATTAATAACAAAATACTTTTTCAATATTTTTTATAACTAACCAAAGAAGTTGAAAAATGCGTGGGTTTTTACGAAAGCGAAAGCGCAAAAAGGAATTATATTTCTGATTTAATAACGTCCACCCCATCTAACGCTAGCTGATGTATTACAGTCAAATCCCAACAGATTTCAGAAGTGAAGGATCAATATCCTTAATTAGGATATTTCTATGTTCATACATAATAATCTAAAGGTTCGAATATAATTTTTAGGTGATATATTGACGTGTTGTAACTTTTGCTACCTTACACCAGGTGTCGTTAAGGTACTGAAAATTAGCTTCTGCGATTATTGAAAATTCAACAAATAAAACGAGGCTTATTTGTAAGTGCTCCAATTTTCTCCATTGTTTCTATAAATTCGTAGCTAATAATAGTTTCAACAAGCATATTTTTATTTGGAAAAATAGAACTACGTTTCTTATTATACCCGGAATAAGTATTAATTATTGAAAGACCATAATCTACAGCGATTAAAAATTCATATCAATTTTAGTATTTTCTTTGTTGTTTAAATTTGTGCGTTCCATTATTTACATACAAAAGGTTACAGGTCGGGACCTGGCATAAAACAAATATTTTTTGTACCTATATCACCGGTTGTACAACCAATTTTAGGAGAATTATATGTTTAATTTTCACAGAGCTGTGTTAATATTAAAACATGTATTTTAATTATTTTGTGTTTAACTCAACGCAAACAATAAAGCTCTAGAAAATATAAAATTGTTTCGTTTGAATTCCCATCTTTCTCTCTACCCCTCTGTTTTTCCGCATGTTGTTAAATACATATTTTAAATATTTCCGCATACACATTTGAAGCCATGGATATTAGCCTTATTATCTATAGGTCTTTGAAGAATAAATTGAATAGAAAATTGCGCACACATTATCTATTTGGACATTATTTAAACGAATAATTAAAAACTATGAATTGCCACGCAAAAACCAGCCTCTTTTTAATTTTTCCACCCACATTAATATAAAACTTTGGTAAAAAAACTGTTACATTAAAACATTGCTCTATGTTCACTTCTCGCGCTTATTGTTAGACTTCTAACGACGTAAAGTTATATCGGACCTCAATTAGGCCATGCATTACGATTTGTTAACTAAAAACTTTATAATGGAGTTGCATTTTATTGCGTAAAACGGAAGTTTTAAATAGGGAATGGGAGTGTATGTGAAAATACCCCACAATAGAGTGGACCAACAACAGCACGATGGCGATGGCACGTTTAAGGTTTAAACACTGCTATTTCAGCCCTTGTTTTGGAATTACACCGAATATTTGGAATTATACAGGGTGTTTCGCATAAGATCCGACACAGAGCTGGGGCATGTAGGGGAACCCAGAAGATAGTGATTTAACGCAACTTACCTTTATATTAAGCTGTAAGTACCTCTGAAAAGTTATGCTTTGAAAGTGGGGTAAAATTTTGAAAAAAATCAATATATCAGTTACACTTAAACTTTGGAAGGCATGTATGTATGCTACAGTCTTCCAGGCTGAGGTTTTTGCTATTTTGATGGTAGCAAGCAAGGAGGAGGTAAGGAATTGTGCAGAGGAGAAGATTTTTATCTGTTCCGACAGTCAGGCCGCGCTCAGAGCGGTTAGCTCCCCGAGGACTAGGTCTGCCCTTGTCCAAGAATGTGGAGACGCTCTAGAGTCATTGGCCAGACGAAAAGAAGTTGAAAGAGTTGGTTTGGGTCCCAGGCCATAGGGGCATCCCTGGTAACGAGAGGGCGAATCAATTAGCTCATCTTCGGTCCAGGGCACCTGGACAGGGACCTGAACCAATCTTACGTATCACACGAGGCAGCATTAATGGGGCCCTCAATAAGTGGGCCTATCAAACTTTAGGTCTGGATTGGAGGAGAAATAGAGGATGCAGGCAGGCCCATAGTTTTATACATGGACCTAGCGAATCCAAGACAAGATGGCTGCTGAGCCTCAGTCGAAAAGCCCTAAACCAAATGGTGGGGGTTCTGACAGGCCACTGCAGACTTAGGAGGCATTTAAGCTTAATAAAGCTTAATAGGAATTGAGGAGGACCTTGTATGCCCGAAATGTGGCGAAGGGGAGGAC